AACAGTTTGATTTGCGAGCAGCGATGCTTAATTTGCTCCGAAGCAAGCTGAAAAGCTGCTGAATAATACTGAATACAGCTTATATAGGAATGCCGCGATAGGTGTCGTATTCCTATAGGTAGATGTGATCAGCTGATGCAAGCTTGACTCACGTGACCTGCCAGAACTAACGCTAAAGCTTAATTTTTGTACAATCAAAGTATTGGACGTTTGAATTTTTAAATGGAATTTTGAATTTTTAAGCTTAAGCATGTTAAATTTTGCAGTTCTTCTGTTTAAAATACAAATGTAATATAAAATCAAACTCTACTGTAGAGTTCAAATTGAATAATTCAATGTCAAAACTTTTTTTCATGCTCTGTAGTTCAAGACTGATTTTCTGCTCATTACATTGTGACAGTAAATGTTTCTCATATGAATGAATTTTCTTCTTCATCTCTTCATATTTCATCAGTTTTTTCATCTGCGCCTCCAGAAATGTCTCTGTAGAGAAAACCTCTCCTCTGTTTTCTTCCAGCATCTGCTCGATGTTCTCCATCAATGTGGACACTTGTATTTTGGGACCAAAGAAATGATGTCGTCCTCCGAACCTCTCAATGACAGACTGTGTTTCTTCATTGAGTTCTGCTGTCTGATGCTCTGAATCCTGCTTTATGAGGATCATGATGTGTTTGTTGATTCTGGAGCTGAAGATCCTCTGGAGCTCCTCCGTTTCAGCTTTGTCTTCATCAGTCAGTGGAGCGTCAGGAATAATGAGGAGGAAAGCATGAACTCCAGGATGACAGAGAGACACACAGCGGAGAGTCTGACGCATCACGTCCTCCTCTGAGAGCCGAGTCAGACCTGGAAGCTCTATTACACTGATCACACAACCATGAAGCTCCACGTCTGTCTGCTGCAGGATCTGCTCTGATACGGAGGATTTTAACGTCCCGTCGCTCCCGCACACGACCAGATTCAGCTTCACAGTCTCTGAAACTGACAGAAGAAGAAGATTAAAACATGTTAATTTATCACTAGAAACTTCACACATCCTCACACTCACGTCTTCCTGTGACTCCTTGCTCCATTGTGAAATACTGTGAACCTTCAGCACACTCCAGGTGCCGTCCGTCATTCATTTTCACGATGTCCTCAAACATCTGCAGAAGATCATCAGGAGAGCTGCTTCTCTGAAGACTAAAGTGTCTGTTTGCACATTTCTGAATGATTGTCTGTAGGATGTCACTGGTTTCTGTGGTTTCTTGTGTTGTGAGCACCATGGTGTGTCGATAAACGCGCTCAGAGAAAGAGTGCAGCACCTTCTCCACACGCTCTTGATCTTCTGCTGAACACGGCTCATGTTTGAGGAGCAGCACGATCACATGAGGTCCTGGATCAGACAGAAACACACACTCTCTCATTGTCTGTGGCTCTGATCTTCATCGACTGATGATCCTTCTGCATCACGATACAGATCCTCTTCACTGTTATCTCCGAGGATCTTCTCTAATCGCTGCAATATTATAGAGCAGCATTCCTCGTTTTTATGATCAAGCTGCAGATGTCCTCCTCCACATTTGATAATTAACTGCTGAATTAATTCATTAGCTCTCGCAGCATCATGCGCCTCTTCATCAGTCGTGATCACTATAGAGCGTTTAACGGCCTCTTCACTGAATCTCTCCAGCATATATTTCACTCTTCTCAGGTCCTCCTCGGTGAAGTCTTTATACTGCAGTGTGATTATGAAGATATGAGGTCCTGGATCAGACAGATGCACACACTCTCTCACAGTCTGTATGAGCTGATGATCTGAGATGTTCGTCTGGAGCAGCTGAGGACTGTTGATGATGATCAGGTGTCTGTCCTTCAGTCTTCCTCCGACTCTCTCTACAACATCTGGAGGAGCTTCACTGTCAAACGCTGCTCTTCCTAAGATGAAGTTTCCCACCAGACTGTTTTCTGACACGCTCGAACCCAGAAGAACTATCCTCACTGCAAACAGTCAAATCAGACTTTCAGAGTTACATCTAATGATGTCAAGATCTTAATTAAATCCAACATCACAGATTGAAACGATCAGAATCCACCGGTAGAAGTTTGCATTTATCATTATAGTTTCCACACACTCTTCATCACTTCATGTGTTAATGTAGGTACAGACTTACTGTCAGGAGGTAGGTCTTTGCTCGGTCTTCTCCTGCGAGGAGGATTGTGGGCAACAATCACTGTATGAAACAAACGTCTTACATTATATTTGACTCTTTCATCACAGTAACACAAACCGACAGAAATCAGCATCTTTGAATGATTCTTACAAACAACAATGTTATTCAAAGTGAAAGTGAGATTCTGTCAAATCACTAAAATAATGAAAATTATTATTTATGTTCATTTTCACTGAATAAGCAGTGAAGAAAATGTATTTTCCTCAGAAGTTATGTATAATCTAATATTTCTGTCTACACATAATCTGTATCTGCATGTAAATGAAAGTGCTTCTACAGAATTGAAGTATTCTTGAAGACTCATTTGAAGCTTTCAGTGATTGTCACCTGTGGTATGGTTGGTTGACATGTTGATATTCTGTTTCCTCCTCCGTCTCTTTCGTCTGTCTTCAGCTGATGATCTTCTCGGTCTCCTGACGTCTGTCTCTTCATCGTCCTGCAAGAGATGTTAGTGCTTCTCAAACAGTAACACAATCTCTGTTCATTTATCCAGACTGTGTGAAGCTCTGTCACTGTTCTGCCTGTAGTTTTCTGTTGAACTGCAGTAGGTTGAACTGGGAATCTCAACTCGTAGATCACGAAGCTCTTCCTAATCACAGGTTTGATTCCCACTGGACAAACTCACACTCTCTGAGTTACATAAAACAGATTGAACTGAATTATTCTAATGACTGAAAGGAGTTTAAAAGACGTATTAATGCAACCTTACAGTAGATAATGATGTATTTAACATACAGTATTCTGACCGACGATAATTATAAAGCAAACATTTGCTAGCAGTTTAATACTTAACTGAGTTGCATAGACAAAACTACAGCACCAGTCTATTTACAGATGAAACTGATCAGGGCTGCGTGTCCAAAAGCTTCGTAAGCCTATAAAATTCGTAAAAACGATCATACGACTGATCTTAATCTTACGGTATGTTTACAAAAAGCATCGTAACTTAATGCCGAGTTCACACTGCACGATTTTAGCCCCGATTTTTCACTCGCCGACAAATGCCCGAAATGAGTGTTCAGTTCACTGATGCGACCAAATCAGGCACGGCGGTAAAGTTAGTTTGATGTTTGACATTCATTAGATATTCGGGTTTTTTTCTCACAATTCTAACTTTTTTTCTCAAAATTCTAACTTTTTTTCTCACAATTATGACTTTTTTTCTCGCAATTATGACTTTTTTTCTCACAATTGCGAGTTTATATCTCGCAATTCTGACTTATTTTCTCGCAA